CGAGGCGGTGCGCGGCGGGCGAGGGCGAGTGCGCTTCGTGCCCGCCCAGCGAGCCCGCCAGCGCCGCCAGCGAGGGCGCGCGCGCCTCCGCCTGCTGCGAGCCCGCAGACAGCGACGCGTCGCCTGAAAATTATACAATATAAGTTAATAATTTAAACTTCAAAATTATAGTTTGTGAGCACAAGTCGTCTATGAGCGTGGATACGGACCGATGCTGGGCTCGAGTCTCCTGGAGGCTGCGTCCGCGTCGTGTGCGGCGTCGCGCTCCTCCTCGTAGGGCTGCGGCGGCGGGGCGGCGGCGCAGCCCCCTGCGCGACACAGTGACACCGGCACCACGCCGTACACGTAGAACAGCAGGATGGGCACGCCGATGCCCACCGCAAGGCCCGCCACCACCGGCGATACGAGCAACTGTAATACACAAACCAATTCTTATTGAGTATTTCTTTTATTTTAGTTTACTTTTAGCGAAATAGTAAAAAAATAGCTTTCTTTTTATCTTGTACGTGTTGCTGTATAAGTGTTCTTGGTTTGAAAGTGTATCAAATATGAGACTGACCGCGGCGGCGACGGCTGCAGCGACAGCGGCGCGGCGTCGGGCGGGCGAGGCGCGGCGCAGGCGGCGGTGCGCGCGGCGTCCCGCCCACAGCGGCAGGCCGACCAGCAGCGCGGGCAGAGCGACGCCGGCCACCACGGCGATGCCGAGCGGCGCGCCCGCCAGCGTGCCCAGCTGCCACAGCAGCTTCTTCTTCCGCGACCACGGCTTCTTGCCCCAGAAAGTGCACCCGCTCGGACTGAAACACCAACAAAACAACGCAATGCAATATAATTCACAAGAAAATACAATTTATCAACTGGACGTTTTCAAAGGACAACTAGTTAACTGTGTGAGTGTGAACTAACCTAAGATAGTGCAGATCCGAGACCTCCTTCATGCAGAGCCAACAGAACTCTGCTCCGCAGACGCAGCACACCATGTGGTTGCAGGAGCCGTCCTCCACCTTCACTATCAGCACCGAGCACCGCGGACAAGGTTTCACCTCGCCTGACATAGACATAACAAACATATAACAATCTAAACATCTCTTTTGAGTCAAATTGTCATCCCATTAATGTACAGGTAGTATTTAAGAGTCCTGATTGTTTCCTCCTTCTTCAGTATATAATCTTGAACTCTTCATCGCTACGTCCATTTGAGCAATAATTATAATTGTCTCTCCCACTAGTTCCTATCTGTGAGAAACAGCGGTAGTAGTGTCTTCAGCTAGTTCCTATCTTTGAAACAACGTTGTTGCCTCACCATGCTCCATGTCGGACTGCTGCGGGGGCGGCTGTCGCGGTGGCGGGTGTCGGCTGCGGCGCGCGGCGTCGCACGTCTGCGTGGGATGCCACGCCGCCTTGCAGTGGTAGCAGAAGGATGCACCGCACCCCGGTGCTAGGCACGTCAGCTTCGGACATGACGCGCACCCGCTCGCCACCACAGCGAAACTGTAACACCACGGATGCCGTCAACGAGGTTCTAACAATAAGTAATAATAATATAATAATAATATTTTATTTATTCTCACTACAAGATTCACAAACAAATACAAACATATAAGTACAAACACAACTTTGTTGTTACATATTTGTGATTTATATGACCCTAAGTTATGTAAGCATTAAACAGAGCTAATATAAAATACAAAGCAATAAATTTCTACATGCTAATATTTATTTATAACTAAATAGTCTGATATGCAAAATTACGCTTCCTTACATTATAAAGCTATAACATGTATATAGCAAAAAAAGAAATTAAATATACAAGTTATTTTACCACTATTACGTATACATCTAAATTGTTCTCTTTTTTTAATTACTATATGTTTATTTATTTTTTTACAAAGTTGTAGACAAGTTTGTTTTTAGTATTGTATAGCTGCCCTCCGTACTAGTATAAAACTGTATTACGGCAGGGCAGGCAGCAGGGCGGCAATAAGTTACAGCTATCTCCAAATATCTCTTATTTAAGACACTTTCATACTCTTGAATTTTATAAGTGCACTTCACGGGAGAAAGTCTTAGTAAGTATTAAAGAAAGTCCGTAGAAATACCTTAGTTACATTTGGATTTGAAGTCTCTTATAATATTAAATTCCGTACACTCCCTGGCTAATAGAATGCAGATTAAAAGTTTCCTACAAGTTAGATATCTTTAAACTCCCCATTCAATTATCACACAGCGTTAAAATATATGTTTCCCGTAAAATTCCACTATGATCTTTGGAGGGCGCGTGTTTTTACTGGGACAGGGTTGCGTAGGCGTGTGTGCCCGCCTCAACGAGCATTGATGTAGGATCATCGAGGTGTAGCCTACGGCAACCATACTTTGATCTTATAATATCATTCTATTTCAGTCAAAAGGAAATCTACGATCTAAATAAATAGTATATTTTTGTTTGAAAAATCTTCTTTTGATATTGTACGAGTAAATGTCATCGGTTGAGATCACATCGATTATTATTAAAGCTTGTTGTCAAGCAAAGCTTTTGCCCGCTACTTCGCCCGCGCGGAAAAAAAAAACTTAGTAAGTAGCCTATTCTATATCTGTGCAGTAGTACATTGTTATTTACAGAGATCTGTTGGGCCATTTTTGAGTTTTTTTAGGAGTAATTGACTTATTTTGTTAAAAGTCTACGTTAACGAAGTCACGAGCAACCTTAATACAAGAATATATGGATACTAGCTATCGCCCGCGACTCCGTCCGCGCGGGATTAAAATTAGATGTTGGCCGATTCTCAGACCTACGCAATATGCTTAGAAAATTTCATGAGAATCGGTCAAGCCTTTTCGGAGAAGTATGGGAACGAAAATTGTGACACGAGAATTTTTTATATCAGATATAGAAAGGAAAGGAACCAATCATGTTAAGTTTTACGTCACTATTGAAGAGTTAGTGTGCAAACGATTTACTATAATATATTTAAATAAATTGTAACCATGGGTTTCCACTGCGGAGACGCCTGCTTAAAGCTCCTGCCGGCAGTGGAAACCGGATGTGAGGTATACCTGCAGTCGGGCGCTGGACACCACCTGGTGTCAGGATCTGCAGCGAGCGCGCGCCGCACTGAAAACTCCTCGTACTTGTCGTACAAAGTTTGATTATCAACGATGCGACGCACATCTGAAAATATAAACAATTTTTTTTATACATATATAAAATTACTTACTAATCTTATTAATATTATAAATCCGAATATTTGAATGCATGGTTGCATAATTGTTGGCAGGTATCTCCAGAATGACTGCATGGATTTTTTAATTTTCTTTTAATTCCGGGCTGACAGAGTCGCGGTCGACAGCTAGTTAATAATAAAATATCACATTCGAAAGATTCATTGCCATCGAGTGCTTAATTACGATCATTCTGAACAATCTTTATACTTTTAAATGAAACAAAAGCGGCCATTTATCCGTTGTCACGTCTGGCATTTTATCATTAAAAAAGCCTCATTAGTTGCATAATGAAAGCTGGCTTTTGTTCGTCTTGCAATCACCACCAAGCTAAGCTGATATTAAAACTACACCAAGTTAGGGTTGCCACTTGCATGTAAATAATAAAATGAAATATTTTTATTATTTTAATTATTTACATGGTTGATACTATTTTGTTCATCATCATCAGCTCACTATACGTCCCCACCGAGGGGCTCCGAGCCTACCCAAAGTTAAGGGTGACTAGGCCATAGTCCACCACGCTATCCAAGTGCGGGTTGATTGACTTCACACATATCTTTGAATTTCTTCTCAGATATGTGCAGATTACATCACGATGTTTTACTTCACCGTAAGAACGTCGGATAAATGTACATATGTAAAATCGGAAATCGAAAAACACATTGGTACATGGCGGGATTCGAACCCAGGACCTGCAGGTTGCAAGTCAAGTGCTTGACCGCTGAGCCACCGACGCTCTCGCTATATTTTGTTCATCTTACTAATATTATAAAGCCGAAAGTTTAGATTAATGTTTGTTACTAGGTATCTCCAGAACGGCTCAACGGATCTTTATGAAAGGTACAGATGTAGGACATAGTCTGGAGGAATATAGGCTATTTAAGTTTTTTTTAATTTTTCGCGGTCGGAGTTGCGGGCGAAAGCTAGTTACACAAAAATAGATAAAACAAGAATATAGATATGTGTATTAGGATCTCAATTTGTGTATCAAAGTGCTGGAGTAGGTTATTAAAATAATTAGTTCATAGTCTTTGTTCAACCATTATTCACGTAATGACCGTTATTATTGAACGATTCCGTTATTCAATAGTACCATGTAAATGCTATACGACCCTGACCTATTTACATACATTTTAAGGGTTCCGTACCTCATAGGAAAAAAAAACGGAACCCTTATGATGACTTTGTTGTCCGTCCGTTCGTCTGTCAAGACCCTTTTACTCAAAAACGCGTGAAGGTATCAAGCTGGAATTTATTTTAATTTCAAAGTACTTATTCTCTATATTTCAGTAAGAATTTTTTTTTTTTTTAGTTTTAATATAATTTAATAATTACTGCGTAGTAATCAAAATTCATCCCTTAAAGATCTAAAGCGAAGGATGACCGTTTGTTGAAAAACGTAATCATTTTTCAATAAGAATCATTTGCGTTTATCTGGCTATAGTTGCCTGTTTAAGGGATGAATTTGGTTTGAAAGTTCTACCACGAGGACAAAGCCGCGAGCGACAGCTAGTTTCAAAGTTATAAATAAAACGCTGTATTCAAATATAAAGATCTTAAGATATGCCATTAATATAACGATAGTAAATAAATAAAAATTTCATAGTACATTAAAGCCAGACAGACTTTTTGTTAGATTTTTTTTAAAATCGTTCTTATCGAAGACGGCTTATTGTTCAATCGATTAAAATAATGCGTACATTGCCCTGTCTACATTTATTTATGGTTCCATTAAAACTTTTGTTTATGATTCATAATATTATATGTTTAATATATATAAAATTAAATAATTGGCAAAGAATTATAAAATCATTTTATTAAATAACGAGTTGTCTCCGGCGTAATTAAAAAAAAACTTATTAGTAGTCTATGTATTCTTCCAGCCTATGTTCTACATCTATGCCAAATTTCTACAAGATTCATGCAGCCGTTGGGGAGATACCTTGTGACAAACAAGGTTTTTCTTTCTGTGCATCCTCTCATCCGTCGATTAAAGGTAGGCAACGCATATGCAATTGCCTATGTCTATGGGCAACGGTCACTCCGCTATTTTAGCGATTTTAGGTGGCCGATCGCTCGTTTGCCACCTTATGATATAAAAAAAAACACATCCATCCAACAAAATATTCGCATTTATAATATTAGTAAGAAGTAAGAATCCATTATTATATTACACGTAATGCAAAAACATGCATTTATATTGATCCAGTGTAATCCATTAAAACTCAAGTGGGTAATGTCCGTATGTTATTAACATGTAGTCAAAGAATTAAATTAGCTTCCCACTTAAGATCGTACATCGTACAGCCTAACTGTCACCGTTAGAGCTATTACTTAGTATCGCATGTATGTTGCTATGACAACTCTACGACCTAATTGTATTGAGCAAATGACATTTCATGGAAACGGGTAGGAAATAAATGTCCTCGACTGTACTGTTTTGTAAATATTTTCACATTCATCGGCCATTAGCCAAGCCAATAGCCATCCCCTCGTTAACTCTGCAAGCTGATATGTTGATTTTTAGTGTACATCCCAATCGTACGTACGCCGGACGGTAAATATCCGTTTTACCGATCAGTATTTCAATGTTATGGTATTTTCTAGAACAAACCGGACCATTCTTGCTGCGTATTGGATCTATTTAAATACCAGACACCCTGTATCATTTACATAATACTAGCTGTCGCCCGAAAAACCGTTTGTGTCAAATAAAAAAAAAAACTTAATTAGTAGCATATGTCTTCTTCCAAACTATGTCATCTATGCCATTTTTAGCGAGATATATGCAGCTATTCTGGAGATACCTTCTAACAACAATCCAAACATTCACATTTATAATATTAGTAAGTTAAGACTTCTCGCGAAAATAAAAATAATTTAGGACAACCTGTATATTTTTAAAAACAATAATTCGTTCACATCCGTGTTAAAATATTTGATTATTTTCATCGAGGTGCAACTATAACAATTATAATTACGTAACTGCGACTTCTTTCACATCCTATAGTACGTAAGATCCTTGAAGTAACCAGTTACCGGACCCGGATTCGACAACATTAACAATTCAAATCGTGCTCGATGGAAATCCATCCGGAATAATACACACGTCTGGGCAATATTTATTCGTAAATATTTGTATGTTTACTCAATAAAGTAGCAACACGTGCAAGACTGGGGTTAAATAAACAATTGAGCATTCTTTCCAGATAATTTACTAGGGGATATACTCAAGTGGGACCAAACATTGTAAACTGACTCGTTTACTACACGTAAAGGTACGCGTTCATTGATCCGCGCCGGACGCACCGGATTCCACGGATTAAACGGATTTGCTTTGTCTTGATGCGATGCGGGTTTCGCGGATGATGGAAATGCTATGAATAACCAAACAAAGCAAACTAAAATCTTTTGCGTCCTACGAGCCAATGCACGCGGACCTTGAGTCTGTGTCTGTGAGTATGATAGATCAATTAGTGATCAGATGATCCAATCTTCAATCAATTATGTTTTTTATGTAACTTACCTTGTGGATGCATGTTCTCATGGCAGACGGGACAGTTGACCGGCATTCGGGCCTCTGAGATCTCAATAGCGAGGTATTGTCGAAGACACGACTCGCAGCAGCGGTGAGAGCACCACGCCAGCCGCACCATCAAACCGCGGTTGAACATTGAAAGGCAGAGAGGGCACTCCACCGCTTCAGCACGCTATGAACAAAGACAAGGTTCATATTAAATTCATGGATACAAATCTAACAAACTATAAACATTTACTTTAACAAAAAGGGGAAGATTTGCAGATGCAATGTTCTTTTTGTATGTAACACTCATTGCTATGTGGCACAATTTAAGGCCTTTTACTTCTCTACACCTGTCATTTTCCATAGCTGCCAACATCGAGCCAAGAATTTGGTCCCTACAGGCTGATAACGATTGTCATTTGTCCTCATTAAGTCTACAAACACCAGTGTAAAAGATATGATTTCATACGACACCTTTGCAGCTATAACATACAAGTTCAAACAGCAAAGTTGCGGTGCATCTGTCCCTCAAGACTAGAGCTGGACGTATCGATCGACCGCAGCTGCTATTAGCGCTACTTGTCAGCTTGAATAATGTATGTCTTTAAAACGCTTGATAGGTAACAAGACGACTACTTAGTCAATCCATTTTTATTTTACATCAACACAAATGACTTAAAAATAGATTTTATTTATGAGCTTATTTTGATTGATTGATAATTTCAAACTCTTTTAAAGTTAGTTTACAGAGTACATGAATTTAATTGCAGAAACTGAACGTGACAAACAACTATGCGTGAGCTACCAGCAATTGACAAATACCGATCGAAACAAAAAGTTTTTATTCCACTATTTAGCTCTATTCAAAAACTTTTCATTTAAAGAATATCTTTAAAAAAAAAAACAAATAATAGAACATTTAAAACCGCCTTATAGCTAAAAGTTTTATTTTAACTTTCCCCGCTACAAGACAATTCAATTTACAAAGTCAATAAATTGAGGCCGCAACTTTAGGGAACACAATTTTCACTAAAATTCAATTAAGCTGTGTGATTTGAACTATTTCTTATTTTCAATTATTTTTGTATCGAAACATGTTTTTTCCTCGGTCTTGTTTTACCTTTATATCCACATTGATCGTTACCTTCATATTTATATGCCCCGCCCCATATTTATATTTTTTGGAAACGATATAAATGTTATATATTTATAGAATGAATATTGTTTGCATACAGGCCACGAGGACAGGTAACTAGGCCAATGCAGGGCATCCCGGACGTCCTATTTACAGCTGTTTCATCTTCAAAACATTTCCAATTTATTATCAACAAACTATCGTCCGCAACTCCGTCCATGCGGGATTAAAAAAAACTTAATTAGTAACCTTCAGTTCTTCTAGATGTGTTTTACCAATTTGCTAAAATTTCATCAAAATCCGTTGGTAACCCCCGGTTACAATACCTTCTAACAAACCATCCATCTATCCATCTAATTTTTTAATTAATAATATAAGTATGATTTTTTTGGTACTTGTGCTCAGTAAACCAGTTAAACATATACTTCATATAGCATCGAAATACTTATTTCATTTATTTTTTTGTTTCTTTGAAACGTGTGGAAATTTATAAAGGACCCGCGACCAAATGACATCCAAAGATACTTTAACAAATTATTATTTTCAAACTATTGTCGCGGACAATATGATTGAGGATAATAAATAACAATAGAGTTCCAATATTGTGCAAAATGTAACAGAATTACACTCCCAAAGAGCGATGACGTCAAATGTCATGCCATATAAACCAAAAGTGCCGTTATCCTTGACACATGATTCACAATTTCCATGACAAACATTGAAAAGTAGGCAATCGGAAACAGCGCAATTAATTGACAGAGATAAAAATTAGTACCTAATTTAAAAAAAAAACCGGACGAAACTGGGAAGAATCAAATGAGAATCCGTCAAAATCCGTTTCGATTATAAGAGGTTATGAAATGAACATCTCAATACTAATCTGACTAATATAAGTGCGAAATCTGGATGTATATTTGTTAACACACAACTCCAGAACTATTAAACTTATCTGGATGATATTTGGAAGAGATATAAATTACAGTCTGGAATAACACATAGGCTACTCAGTTTCTTAATCCGCGCAGACAAACTCGCGTATGATGACTTCTCTCTAATCTCCTTCATATATAACAAAAAACGAACCTCGGTTTCCAGTCTTGGAAGTAATGACCTTTCAATAGACCACCAAGTCAAACAAAGAATGCACCCGTGGGCAGATGTGTCAACGACACAGGAAGGGGGGTCGCGTCTGAGATTGTATGGTAATGGGGTGATCAGAGACGTCTAGACGCGGGCCGGCATTGCAGCACCAATGAAACACCCCTGCTCTGCATTACAATAAGAATTGCTACAGGGAGAACTCTTTGCAATTAACATAAGAATCAACTTATTTACTTTATTTTAAAAAAAAATCAGGACAAGTATTTTACTGCTAATGACGTTAGATGGCGTAATTTATAACTGACTTGGGAATTGAAAATTACTTAAATATATCAAATTAATTCCATATTTCCTTAAATAAAATACTTTATACAAAATAGTTATTCTAGCAGCGTTAAGACCGTCTTTCTAGTCAGAGACTGTAATCCTTTGTTCAATCCTTCTAATTAATTTCACTAACATGCGACAGATTTAAAATGAAGATAAAACAGTAGCGTAAAATGGAACGGCTTATGTAGTTCATAGCAGATTATCAATAATACGATAAGATTATGCGACCTGCTGACATATAGAAAACATGTGCGCTGTAAATGCATCTCAAAGATAAATACGACCTTGAGTTTACACTACCGAAATATCTGTATAAAACATATTGCTATCTCTATTTTTCCAAAAGGAAAGTGAAAGAGATGACAATATATTTTTAAATACAGTACAGTAAACTCACGGAAGTATTTCCGACAAGATGAATCAATATGTATCGAAAATAATACGCTTATTGACACGTTAAATTGATCATTTAATAAATTCAAAGTAAACGTGGGATTCCGTTCTATACATCCATCGAAAAATATTTCATTATAACAGTTTTTAGGGTTCCGTACCTCATAGAAAAATAACGGAACCCTAATATAATAGGATCACTTTGTTGTCCGTCCGTCTGTCTGTCAAGACCCTTTTCTCAAAAAACGCGTCAAGGTACCGAGCTGGAATTTATTTTTAATGAAAGGGCAAGTAACCATAATCATCATCATCAGCTCACTATACGTCCCCACCAAGGGGATTGGAGCCTACCCTAAGTAAGGGTGATTAAGTTTTGACACCACAAACTACATGCAAATAAGTCGCTAAGAACGTATTAAACATGGCCTTGTACTACGAACACAACAATAAAAAAATTAAAATGTTTATTTCATCCGTTATTAATCCTGACGTATATAGAACATTAATAATAAAAAACCGTTTTAATTAGAAAATCACTGTAAATATATGAAAACACGAGTGACTTAGAAAACCGTGGCATAATCAATTTAAGTATAGGAATTAATAATTTTATATTTTTATTATTAAAATCTCTTAATCCTAACCCGACTAGCCGGTAGTTGATAGAATCGCATTTATTCAGAGGGCGATGTCTATGTATATCCAACGGCATGGAATCCATACCTCCATGTCAATGACTCCGAGAGATCAAGGATTCTTAAGCACAGTGGTTGTTATTCAACGGGTATGCCACCGTCCAATCGTGAATGCTGCCAGATTGTTATTTGTCTTGGCAAATTGCAAATAGAACAAATATTACGAATATTATAAAAGCGAAAGTTTAAATGGTTTATCTCCAAAGCTATCTACGGATTTCGATGAAAATTGGTATAGAATTAGAAAATAGTCTGGAAGAACACATAGGTTCCTTACTATTTTTTTAAATTCCGCTTGGACATATTCGCGGTAAAAATTTATTCGTACCTATACTGTTTAATATAAGATCAATATATTTAATAATTAAATACTTAATCCTTGCGTCTCTGGGTCACAGTCATTTTTGCGTATCGATTAGTTAACGCATAATTATCAAACACAACGCACATGTAATCGTCAAGGAGAAAGGGGGTTACGACACATGTAGGCGAGCCGGTCGTGGCAGTACGTACAGGTTCGTATATCAAACATGAAATCCTGTTGTACTATTATTATTATTATTAAGACTCTTCTACAATCCTGCGAAATGTAAAAACGTAGACATTTTTTTCTTTACTAGCTGTCGTCCGCGGAGTTAAAAACATTTTATTATTAGCCTATTTGCTCTTCCAAAGTATATTCATCTATTTCAAATTTCAGCAAGATTGATGCAACCGTTCTGCAGATATTCGTATCATATCTTGTAATAAACATCCATACATCCATCCATACATTCACATTTATAATATTTGTAAGAAGAAAGATAGTATGATATTGATAACTAATCTCTTGAAAATTTTATCTTATTTAGTTTCATCTCGTCTAATTCCAATTGATAAAAGCGCATACCTTCATTATTAGGTCTTGTCGACTGCCTAGTGCTTAATGTGTACTGCTCTAGTCTAGTGATAATTTCAAAATGGCGACATTATTAAAAATATCACTGTCCATTGGACTCTCACTTAACCAGGTTCGACTGTATATATATAATACGATAGTTGACGAGTTCCTGTCTGTTTGTAGCAGTATTACAAGTTATAACGTAACCAAAATGAGTTTCACCGTTAACCCGTTCCAAGATCGGACACCGTAACATTGCCCAACTACGACGAACAGTTTATCCATGCGTAATTTAGGGTTGTCGACTCCGTATATTTATATATACAATAACATTTACACGTTCACAGGATGGTAATTAATATGGCTGCCTTGAACAATACGACTCAAAGAAGCCTTCGCAACTCCGCACCTGCGGTTTACATTTTGAGAACGTGTGAAAATTAGATTTCGTCTAAGTCGATGTATTTTAATATATGTAACTACTGTTATATATATGTAACAATGTCAAAGATTACCTAAAACACTAACATGAAAAACGACTTCAAAGTCAAGCCATGCAATTCTGCTTTTCAATCATTCATATTAATAACAATAATTGTTATTTAAATTTTAGTAAATACATTTTCATTAATTCTAATAATTTGTAAGTGGCAACCCTATTGTTAGTATCATGACAATAACAATCGATAAGCAAGCTAACACTAAACAACATCATTATACGATTTCGTAACTACACTCTTTGCATACATGTATGAAACGAAAAAGTAGAAAGTTAAGTAAATACGTAACGCATTACAAGGAGCTAGACACTGCGAGTTAGAAGCATTACTCGTAAAAAAATATTATTGTCCAGTCTTCGAAAAAATGGAAGAATTAGTGTACCATATTCCTAACCTTAATTTTAGAGAGAAAATATTTGCACTTTCTCATCTTTGTTATAAATAAACTCAAAAATTACTTTACCATTTTCAATTATTTTTACCATTATAATGTTGCCTTATTTCTGAATAACAAATATAATATAGAAGTCCGATAGAAGGAGATCTAGAAGAGAAGGAACCTTTCCGAAGTTAAGGCGGAACAGTTGATATTTCATCTCCGAAACAAAAGGAATACAGTATTCACAAAATATGTATACTTTCAAGTTACGATCAGAAAACGTCAATAAAAGAATCTTAGCAGAAGAAAAGAATGAGTCGATGCAGCGAGTTTGTTACAATGTAGCTTTTAGTACGTACTGCTTTTAAGATGATTAGGTTTTTAAGTATTTAGCCTTAACAATAGAGTTTGGACAGCAATATTAACATTTGAAACTGTAGTATATTTTCAAAAGAAGGTTTTATGCATCACTTTACAATTTCGCTTTGGAAAATAAACCTGAATGAAATACGAAATATAAATTATTGTATCGAAAATAAAATGAAAAATAGTTGTCGCTCATCGATCATAATTTGACATTATTTTTTATTTTTATGAGGAACTAGCTGAATTAAAAAAAAAAACTTAATTCCTTACATATGTTCTTTCATGCTATGTTCTACATCTGTATGACCAATTTCAGAGAGATCCATGGAGCCGTACTGGAGATAACTTGTAACAAATTTAACGATCATCCGTTCGCACAATTTCCTTAAAAAGGGTTACCAAAATTTCTCTTCACGTATTATGATTAAAACCAGCAAACAAATATTTAAGTTCAAATTTCGTTGAAAAATAATAATTTAAATAAGGACATTGGTAATGCTCTAGAAGTGCGCTGGACCGAGACAGGTCAATGAATCGATGTTTTTCTTTAAGATTCGACGTAAATTCGTTTCGCATTGAAATAGGTTCCATTTGTAAGTCATTCTCACGAGGTCGAAATAATATTTAAGGTTATTCACATCTGATTGAGACGAGTATATTTTAATCTAAAACCTTTAGGTGTTTACATATAAGAGAGATAGTAAATTATGAGATAGAAATTAATTTCGATCGTATCAGATAAACTGCACTATATAAAGTTGAAGACACACTTGGAGTAAAGGTACACAGTGTAATTAATATCAGAGAAATCATTACCAGTTCATCTTCGGTGACCACTCGTACTATAAACTGTCTGATCTGCGTTGGGGGTTCTGGGGCGGTCTGCTTCGTCTGCCGCGCATCACCTTGGTCCAACACTGCAACAATAATAACACTCATTTATAATATAATAAAAAAAATTAGGCTTCGGGGCAACAACTAATTTGTTTTTAAACCTTTTTTTGATTTTTTATATGAGCAAGGTATTGACTATAACCAAACGAAAAAAAATTAAAAAGCAATCTCTGCTCAGACGTCAGAATTGATTTTTACATCTTTTTTCATATACCTTTGGAGTTTTAACTGCAATACAGAGTCGTTAAATGGTAACTAAAGGTCACGCTTAGTCTCGGTTTAGTACAAGAAATCTTCAATACGGAACTGTTTAAGTCGCTTTATTACTATAATCTTCAAAATTCCTAACTTTATAATATAGACATTACAGTATTTTATTACATAACTCCGTCTACCGTAAACGTGTTCAGCACTCAAATGGATATTTATAAAAATTCAACTTTAAAGCTGTTCAAATTGGACTAAAACGTCGTATAAAATGGAGGAAGTTCGTCGCCAAAGACATAAAATACCTGATTGTCTTACTAATATAAATGCTAATATTTGGATGGATGTTTGTTCGAAGATATATCTATAACAGCTGCATACATCTCGATGTAGAACATAGTCTGGAAGAACGAATAGGCTAAAATTTGAATATAAAAGAAACAGTGACTCTAAGCATCACAGATTATAAACGTTTTTTGCTACCGTCTCTTGAACGATCTCTAGTCCAGAGTCTGTCATTTATTTTAATAAGTTTCCTCTCAATTGTTTCTTTAAATATTTTAACAAAGATACGCAATACAGAACAATATAATTAAGCAGCATTAAATTAACTCCTTGACCGAATTCAGAAGGTTTTGGCAATTGTTGAAAACATTAAGAACGTAACGCTCTGATAATTTGTACAGTTTTATTACACTGTCGTAACCTTTCACAAATCATCCAACAGAAACAAAATAATTGACATACCAATTAAAGTATGTACCTATAATTTCAAACGACGAATTTTATCAAAAAATAGCCCATGAATTTGTCAGCACAAAATAAAAAATAGCCTCTAATATTCCCGAACAAAAAAATAGCAAAACCACTCGAAACTAAGTTTCGCTCGTTCTACTGCCGAACTATCGCCCGGGATTCCGTCTATGCCGAATTAAAAAAAAACTAAGTAGTAGCCAGACTTCCAGACTGTGTTCTACGAACTGTGGTCTATATCCATGCTAAATTTCAGCAAGATCCATTAAGCCATTTTGATTTGAGCACCTTCTAACATTCATACATCCAAACATTTGCATTTATAATATTAGTAAGATATGAATGTAGATGTATAATCATCATAATGTAATCTATTGCTCAAAGATAAACATAGTACACGGTAGTTTATATGTCTATGCAAATAGTATTAACATGTTGGCTTACAGTAACTATCGCTTACTTGCTTAAGTACAAGTAGTTGATAACATTTTCATTGTAATTGATTACTTTATGTTCATGGAGTTTTTACACTTCAGCTGCCATTACATCTAAGAAAAAAGAAGAAATTTAAATTTTGAATTTAAGGTCAGATCAATTTTTCTATGTCTTTTTGTTATTCGTGTTCTACAATATTAACACATTTTTTTGCAAACAAGGGTTTTTTTATTTAAATCCCTGTACACTTTATTTATCCTTTGTTTGAGTACTAGCTGTCGCTTGCGATTCGATCCGCGCTGATTAAAAAAAAAACTTAATTAGTAGCCTATGTGTTCTTCCAGACTGTTTTACATGTATGCCAAATTTCATTGAGATCCATTAAGCCGTTCTGAACATAACTTCAATCAAACATTCATCCATCTAAACTTTTGCATTTATAATATTAGTAAGATTTTCTCTTTTGCCGTATCAATTGTTTATAACTATCGGTTTCCACTGCCGTACCTATAAAAGCTTGATATATACCATATGCTATTGTTTGGGTGTTTCGCTCGTGGAAACTCGCGGTTAGAATTTTTCAATGATATAGGTAAGATTAAAACAAAGTTTTATACAACTGTTGTATCATTATATAATAAAATTTTATATAACAAATCACTTGTGCTAATTATTAAAGATAATTTTCAATATAATTTACTCTGACGTCATACATAGTTGTCAGATCTTCGTCTTATCTTAAGATTATAAATCAACCAATTGAATTGGAACTATGATAAACCTACAAACATTTTTTAAAGTAGTAAACATAATAAAAACACTTTATTACCGTGGGTTTCAGAGACCGAAATTCCCATATAAAAGATATTGTTATTTCAGTCTTATTAAAGGTAAAGAGAGGGATGCCGATAGGTTTTGATGTTAAGATTTTGGTCTTATAAACCAAAAGTTAGTGTCCTGTATTTAACATACTATCCATGTATAAGATAAGATATTGTCTGATATTTCACACGATACTGGATTTTGCCATTTTCCTCTTAACTTTTACTGAAAAAGCTATGACAAACTTGTTTGTTCCTCTTCAAATATCTTAAACTGTTTTGGTCAGCGCTTTGGTATTATTAAAACATTAGTAGGTTACATTTTGGAATAACCCCAGTTGGTTACAGCGATGTTCTCTCACATAAAATGACTATAAGGTATGATTTGCGGCGGAAAACCCAAGATACGATGTAATGCCGTCATATTTTGTTTATTTCATACAATGTGTCCAATTAATGAACTAAACAAGTTCATCAAAAAAGAACTAACATCAATATTACCGTTAGACACCACTACTGCAAATCTGCTTATTAGGGTTCCGTACTTCAAAAAAAAAACCCTTTTAGGATTATTTGTTGACCGTCAGTCTGTCTGTCAAGACCCTTATTTTCAGGAACGCGTGAAGATATCAAACTGTATTTTTTTTAAATGTGCGTGTAAATGATCTTAAGTCTGCATTTTGTGCCGTGGAAACCCACTACTATTTTGTACCTCTGTATATCACCTAGAAGAGTTGATACACTTCCAGTTGATGCAGTAATCTACCTGCATCACAACAAGCTGAGTTATTTATAGGCAGTAATTTCCGTTCGCTCGTGCTCGGTGAAATCACTCCGGTTGCATCCACGCGACTTGCCAAAGCTGGATTAGTGACTTCGTATTAAGTGTTAATTTAAATCATATATAATCTAGTTATTTTGGAGCTTTACCTTCAAGCTACACAAACATAATTTATAGGTTTAATTTTACTAATATTATAAATGCAGATGTTTAGATGGATGGTTGTTTGAAGGTATCTAAAGAACGTCATGGACGTAGAACATAGTCTGGGAGAATATATATGTTCTACTACTAATATTTTTTTTAATATCGCGCGGACGGACTCGAGAACGACAGCCCGTTTAAATTTAACCTATTCTTTTACAAACAATTGTGATAAGGTGTGAATTATTGAACAGTAACGTGTGAACTTTACAATACGTTTCGAGGAAATCTACTTAAGGGAGTTCCCCGTGATCAAAACTTATATACAAACCACAATGAACAATTACTCAAATCATCATTTACTTCAAAAATATATTTATTTGCCTATTATTACAGTGCTTCACGTTTTCATATGATCCATGCCACTGTTCCATTCAACGTGAAATTAGAGCCAAAGTTGTTCTCGTCTTAATCATGTCATCTTTCACACAATCTATCCATCTGTTCCTAGTTCTACCTCAGGTGCACCACTCCACTTACAGACACAGAAGTATTGAAATTAAACGTTTATCACTCTATACTTGATTACTTTAGTATCATCAGATAAACGGTTCCCGAATACTTCATCTATTTTCGTAATGTCAATGCACTAGCTGGCAAACTTTCAATTTGACGTCAATCTAAAAAAACACACCATGATTTTATTCAATGTAAAAGATTTACAAATCGTATAAAATATTGTATTCTCGACAAATAAGTCTCCGGAAATTATGCTGTTTGAAAAGTGGAAGCCAAAATCAGAAACCACCAATCACCAATTGATTAAGACAATGCACACATGTGGATCAAGAATTAGGTTAGGTAAGTTTAAAATAAAAAAATATATACATAGTCGTGATAGTTTAATAGTTAGTATGGTTATTTTTATTGCATAACAAATTTCTTTACTTCATATCTGTAATAAAAATATTAATTACAAATATAACGTGTCTTGACCACGTGTTTAGTTACGAAGATTAACGTGCTTTCCGCACGTGAATCGGACGACGGGAAAATGAAATACTAAATTGCACAAACAGTACACAGGAAAATTAAAGAATTCATTCAGGATAGAAACAAAGCCCCGCGTAAATTTGAAAACCCCATCCTATAATAAGCCTTTGTGTTTCATAACATGGTGCTTGTATGCGCAGATGTGTAAATGAGCAAGGAATGAAGAAAAAGCGATGGGAGTTCATAATCTTCACTTATAATCAATAGAGTTGTTTTTAACATTACTTTTTCATCAAAATCGATTTATCTTATGGAACACTAAGATAACTAACAAATATTGATAAAAATTAACTTTAATCTGTGACGAATTTTCCATAATAATGTTGAACAAAGGCTGAGTGAAAACGATGTCAAAAGTTGTCAAGATGTTGACAGAGAGTGACGTGTAGATGGCGGCTGTAGCGACACAACCCTGAGGAAGAAGTGCTCTTAATCATTCGCGACAGGAAACACTTCCAGTGCTGTATACTTACTAATAGCTATGTCAACTCGAAAATTATACCATTATTATGACTTATTGGAAAAGCAAGCGCATTATGAGTACTACCTACTTTTGACTACTGCTACTTTTTTAAAACGTCAAAAAATTAAATAAATTTAATAGAACATTTTTATGTCTTAACGACATTATTCCGAAAACTCGTGGATTAAAGGTTGTTTAAACTAGAAATGTCTGATAAGAAAAATACTGCCATAGACACATTTCACAGATAATCAAGCACTTCCTAAATGTATTCCCAATATTAAATCCACGTTTAGGGTTTTTAGTCTATGTGTGATAGAATTGCAACACAGCCCTATAACATTGCTAATTAATTGCACGATCGAC